GAACTGGGACGTGCAAAGCCAACCAAGCACGGTATTTGCAGGATCAGTTCTCCTAGCTTCAGTACCACACTGTCGAAGAAGCCAAACAGGAGAAGCTCTTGGTTCTCTTAAGAGAGCATAACCTAGTAGGAATGAAAGACCAAAAAATAAAAGACCATTAGCCAATTTATGACAGCATAAAAGCTGTGAACGAAGTGCTCTGAGAGCACAGAAGGGGCAGCCATTAATTTAACCTGGGGAAAGATTACCCGAGACTTTGAAAAGCTTTAGTGGTAGGCCCTGAAGAATGGGCTGGCAGTTTGCCAAGCAGACAAGAAAGAGATTCCAGACAGAAGGAATATTGTCAGCCAGGCATGGAAGCACCTGAGAGTCAAGTCATGCTCTAGGAATAGCAAGTATTTTGAGGACGGCTGCCGGGTGGAACACACAGGCCACGTCTGAGGATGAGGCCAGTTTTCACTTGTAAATGGCTCTTGAACTGTGAAACTTCTTCAATAAAGTTCAATGAAAAATCACAGTCTGTATTCAGAGCCCAGGAGCGTGACCATTTGGGTAGAGACCCCCATCTCTTGACTCCATTAGGTAAGACTGGTTGTGGGGCTGTGGTTTAGGGCAGCCAGTTCTTACTTTTCCTGAGTTAACAAAGACAATGAAGGCCAGGCAGTTCTGTCTGCTTTTGCTTTCGCTTATGAATAAGCCCCCATCTGACCACTGTTATTAGGTCAGCCTGAAATTTCAAGCAGTGTATTTCCTGCTTCCTTGGAATCTATTATATGAGCCTCTGCCATGAAAGGAAATAGACCTCAGGGCGTCTTCCCCAGCTCACATGTATCTCATCCACTGGCTTTGAAAGGTTCCCCAGATGCAGGGACAGTGAGTGGGGCATGTGTGCCAAGGGCATGATCTCAGAGCCAGAGGTGCCCTGGTTAGTGGGCAGGAGGGTCATTGAGTGGGTTTTATATATGTGTATGAATAGGTGGATTATTAGAGAAGTAATTTTTAGAATAACTTTAAAGATTTCAACTTAAAAATCTAGTTAGAGGGCAGCGCCTGTGGCTCAGTGAGTAGGTTGCTGGCCCCATATACAAAGGATAGCCGGTTCAAACCTGGCCCCTGGCCAAAACTGCAACAAAAAATAGCCGGGTGTTGTGGTGAGTGCCTGTGGTCCCAGCTACTCGGGAGGCTGAGGCAAGAGAATTGCCTAAGCTCAAGAGCTGGAGGTTGCTGTGAGCTGTGATGCTTCGGCACTCTACCAAGGGCAATAAAGTGAGACTCTGTCTCTAAAAAAAAAAAAAATCTAGTTAGGGTTGTTTTTTTTTTTTTTAACCAGCACAAGTACCAAGTTTGCTTTGGATCTAGACCTACTCTGAAACCTAATGTTCGATGCTCCTAGAATCAGAACCGAATACTTTCAAAGTGTCTGGCCCAGGGAGTTTTCTATCAGATTGGTTTTCATGGGACTGATGTTAGCAATCTATAGACAGTTGTTGAATTCTATCATAAAAATTAACATAGCTTCAATGGGAGCAAGAAGGATGCTTCAACCCAGGCTTCTGCAAGATCAGCCTGGGATATAAGCTGAGGGAGAAAATAAAACTGTGACAGAAACAGAGAGCAAAGAATCCTTATTTGTGGTGATGACCCCAAGGTCTACACCCTTCCTGTCCTTAACCCTACTCTGAACCACTGCACTTTACCACTTTACCAGCCTTACCCTTTCCTCCAACAGTGGGAAATGTCACACTGGCTTGTTGGCCAAGATTACACAGAGCCCTCACCTAGATAAAGTACAAAGATTGCAGCAATATACAGACACACCTTAGAGAGTTGGTGGGTTAGGCTTCAGATCACCACAACACAGCAAATATTGAAGTAAAGGGAGTCACATTAATTTTTTGGTTTCCTGGTGCATACAAAAGTTATGTTTACATTATCCTATAGTCTAATAAGTATGACAAATTATGACTAAAATAATATATGTGTCTTAATTAAAATACTTTAAGGCTAAAAAAATATGAAAAATCACCTGACCCTTCATCAAGATGTAATCTTTTTGCTAGTGGAGGGTCTTGCCTCTGTGTTGACAGCTGCTAACTGATCAGCGTGGTGGTTGCTGAAAGCTGGGGTGGCTGTGAGAATTTCTTAACACAAGACAACAACAAAATTTGCCACATCCATTGACTCTTCCCTTCACAAAAGATTTCGCCATAGTATGTCATGCTGTTGGATGCTCTTTCAAAATTGGAATTAGTCCTCTCAAATTCTGCTGATGCTATATCAGCTAAGTTGATGTACTATCCTAAATCTTTTGTCATTTTAGGAATGTTCATAGCATCTTCAAGCAGTAGAGTCCATCTCAAGAAAACACGTTTTTTGCTCATCCATAAAAAATAACACCTCAGTCATTCAAGTTTTATCATCAGATTATAGCAATTTAGTCACATCTTCAGGCTCCACTTCTAATTCCAATTCTGTTGCTATTTCCACCACATCTGCAGTGGCTTCCTCTACTGAAGATTTGAACCCCTCAAAGTCATCTATGAAGGTTGGAATCAACTTCTTCCAAGCTTCCGTTAACATTGGTATTTTGACCTCCTCCCGTGAATCCCAAATGTTCTTCATGGCTACTGGAATTGTGAATCCTTCCAGGCTTTCAACTGACTTTGCCCAGATACATCTGAGGAATTACTATATGTGGCAGTTAGAGCCTTGCAAAGTGGATATTGTGTTAGCAATCATAAAAACTACATGAATCTCCTTGTACATCTCCATCAGAGCTCTTGGGTGATCAGGTACATTGTCTATGAACAATAATTTTTTGAAAGGAATCTTTTTTTATTGAGCAGTATGGCTCAATTGTGGACTTAAATATATCCAGAAAACCATGCTATACTCAGAAGTTCTGTCATCTGGCTCTGTTGTTCCATTTCTAGAACACAGGCAGAGTAGATTCAGCATAATTCTTAAGGGCCCTAGGATTTGGGGGGTGGTAAACAAGCATTAGCTTCAACCTAAAATCACCGGCTGCATCGGCTCCTAACAGGGAATCTTTTGAAGCTTTGAAGCCAGGCATTGACTTCTCCTCTCTACCCAGGAAAGTTCTAGATGACATCTTCTAATAGACAGCTGCCTTATTTATATTAAAAACATGCTGTTTAGCATAGCCACTTTCATCCATTATCTTGGCTTGATCTTCTGAATAACATGCTGCAACTTCTGTATTAGTTTTTATTACTTGACCTTGTACTTTAAGTTGTAAAGATGGCTTTTTCCCATGAACCTCATAAACCAACCTCTGCTAGCTTCAAACTTTTCTTCTGCAGTTTCCTCCTCTCTCTCAATCTTCAAAGAACGGAAAAGAGTTAGGGCCTTGCTCTGGATTAGGCTTCAGCTTAAAAGAGTGTTGTGGCTAGGATGACTTTCTAGATAGAAGTGGTCTGGACAGACGACTAAAACTTTCTCCATGGGGCGGCACCTGTGGCTCAAAGGAGTGGGGTGCCAGCCCCATATACTGGAAGTGGTAGGTTCAAACCTGGCCCTGGCCAAAAACTGCAAAAACAATCATTCTCCATGTCAATAATAAAATTGTTTGCTTCTTATTATTTGTGCGTTCTAGCAGAAATTAAAAGTGAACTAGCACTTTTAATTTCTTTCTTTTTACGTTTTTCTTTTCTTCTTTTTTTTTTTTTTTTTT